GACAACAATTCTTCTATAATATGACACACAAGGTACTTTGATTAAGTTATTTTTATATAATTTCTCATGTGTTCTTATAATGATTTTTTTTTCTTTTCAGTAAATAAATTATGCAAAAACTATCTAAATGTTTCATTTTTCCGAGAGCATTCGGATGTACATTTCGCCATTTTCAGGATTGTATATATTTACTGTTAACTGGAAATAGATTGTTGTAGGTATGTATTTACTATTATAGAATGTTTCATTTTCAAAACACAGTTGTGACCTTGATTTTGTATAATTTATCGACTGAAATGAAAAAAAGTTAAAAAATCATATGAGAAATTGTATAAAATCCTAATCAAATCACATAGTCTGCCATATTTAATGAAGCTAGCTTATATATATATATATATATATATATATATATATATATATATATATGTGTGTGTGTGTGTGTGTGTGTGTGTGAAAATATATAGAAAATAGGAGGGAACTGGTTAGGTAAATAATCCAAAGTCCCTTAGTATTTTAGTTATTATTTTAAAAAAATAGTGCTCGATACAAAAGTAGAGCATAAATATAATTATTTATTTAAAATATGATTCCAAAACGCTACATAAGAAGTATCATGTTTCAAAAAAAATTTCGCTTGAAGATGGAACAGAGCTTATTTTGACTCAATTTAATTTAAATAATTATATTGAAGTTTTCGGCTCTTGTTTTTTGAAACATGAGACTTTTTATGTAGCGTTTTGGAATCATATTTTTAAATAAATAATTATATATATATATATATATATATATATATATATATATATATATATATATGTGTGTGTGTGTGTGTGTGTGTGTGTGTGTGTGTGTGTATATATATATTAATTTTTATATATTATATGCGCGGTACTTATTAGAAAGCGGTCAATATCGATATTTGGTTAGATTGATGTGAGTTTGTGACCCTGGGTTTCACGCTTTTGCGATCGTCAGACAAACACAAATATATATATATATATGTGTGTGTGTGTGTGTGTGTGTGTGCGTGTGTGTGTGTGTGTGTGTGTTTGTGTGTTTGTGTGTGTTAATGAAAAATGTATTGCTTTCGGTTAATTCGACAAAGTAACCATTCAGTTTTAAAAAGTTTTGAATGTAGTTGATATGATTTTGACACATTTTCCGATGTTGTGTGCTGTTTTTAAGATGCAAAAGTTTAATCCTACACTCCCGGTTTTTCGTGGGAAAAGACTCATCGATGTTTAATGATGTTGTCAGCTTGTATTTGACAGTATAATATTTGTTACAGGGTTTTAATAAAAGTGAAAACATGGAGTTCTCACTATCTTCAGGCATCAAAATCATTTCTTTGTTCTCTAAACGTATGCGATAATCTCTCTTTCTTTCTCTTACTATTCTCTACCCTCTCTACACACGCACACCCCCACAGAGAAACACACATACATACATGCACACACAAACACACAAACACACATATATAAATATATACATAGATAGATAGTGAGAGATAGAAAGATGAATAAATATAACTCTAATTTGAGGTCTATAACTCTGTTTAAGTCTACTCAGGTTTATTTCTATTTTACTTACAATTTTGTTACTATTTCCAAAGGTCAGTCTGAACATAAGCAACTACCTTTCTTTCGTACAAGGTTTTTTATATCACTCACCGCATATGCATATCTATCTATCTATCTATCTATCTATCTATCTATCTATCTATCTATCTATCTATCTATTTCAGTCTCTTCATATCTATCTATTTCAGTCTCTTCATATCTATCTATCTATCTATCTATCTATCTATCTATCTATCTATCTATCTATGTAAACTTGTCCCTAATCTATCTATCTATCTATCTATCTATCTATCTATCTATCTATCTATCTATCTATCTATCTATCTATCTAACTTGTCCCTAATCTATCTATCTATCTATCTATCTATCTATCTATCTATCTATTTCAGTCTCTTCATATCTATCTATCTATCTATCTATCTATCTATCTATCTATCTATCTATCTATCTATCTATTTCAGTCTCTTCATATCTATTTCAGTCTCTTCATATCTATCTATCTATCTATCTATCTATCTATCTATCTATCTATCTATCTATCTCAGTCTCTTCATATCTATCTATCTATCTATTTTAGTCGAATCACATCTATCTATCTATCTATCTATCTATCTATCTATCTATCTATCTATCTATCTATCTATCTATCTATCAGTCTGTCTACTGTTTATATATTAACTATGGAGAATTGATCTGAGAAGGAATGAAAATTGGAATATTGAAACCGTGAAATATGGTGTCGAATGCAGTATCTTCATATTAGATCTATCTATCTATCTATCTATCTATCTATCTATCTACGTTCATATCTATCTCAATCTGTTCATATAATATTCATCTCAAGCTGTTCACATCATACCTATCTCACTTTGTTCATATCATCTCTCTCTTCATATATATATATATATGTGTGTGTGTGTGTA